GCTTCAACTTATGGATAGAACAATCACTCACAGCATGTCGTTTAAGTATTTAGGTGTCTGGTTCGATTCCAAGTGCACTTGGGGAAAACACATAGCGTATCTGAGGCAGAGATGCCAACAGCGAATCAATTTCCTTCGTTCCATTACCGGCACTTCATGGGGAGCCCATCCGGAAGATCTGATAAGACTCTACAAGACCACCATTCTCTCGATTTTGGAGTACGGTAGCTTTTGCTTTCAATCGGCGGCAGGGACGCACATATTGAAGCTCCAAAGGATTCAATATCGTTGCATTCGAATCGCGCTAGGTTGTATGCAATCGACGCATACCATGAGTCTTGAAGTTCTTGCGGGCGTCCTCCCCTTAACAAATCGTTTTGCGGATTTATCGTTCCGGTTCCTCATCCTCTGTGAAGTCATGATCATGATCGAAAACTTTGAGAAGCTGCTAGAGCGGAATCCTCAAACACGATTCATGAGCTTGTACTACGAGTACATGACTCTGGACATCGGCCCCTCCTCGTTCAACCCCAATCGCGCTGTCTCCCATCATTTCAGTGGTTCTTCCGTGAGATTCGATCTCACAATGAGGCAGGAGATTCAAGGAATTCCAGAGCCTCACCGTGCCCTGATTGTCCCAACTATTTTTGCGAACAAATACCGCCACGTCCCCACCGAGAAGAGATTTTTCACAGATGGGTCGGTGATAAATGCGTCCACTGGTTTTGGAGTATTCCACGATCTTCATAGCGCCTCATACAAGCTTCAAAAGCCGTGTTCGGTATACGTTGCTGAACTAGCAGCTATATCGTACACGTTAGAGCGTATTGCCTCACTTCCACCTGACCATTATTTCATTTTTACGGATAGCCTAAGCTCCCTGGAGGCTATGCGTTCAATGAGGCCGATGAAGCACTTGGCGTATTTCCTCCAGGAAATACGGTCGTCATTGAGTGCTTTATCAAACAGCTCACATGTCATCACCTTGGTATGGGTCCCTTCTCATTGCTCTATCCCGGGCAATGAGAAAGCGGACTCGCTGGCCAAGGTGGGCGCTATGGAAGGCGATATTTACGAGCGACAAATCGCCTACCACGAATTTTTCACGATTTCTCGTCAGCAAGTCCTCGCCAACTGGCAACAAAAGTGGAATGATGGTGACCTGGGAAGATGGCTACATTCTATTGTCCCACAGGTGTCGATCAAACCCTGGTTCAAAGGGTTGGATATGAGTCGTGATTTTATTCGTGTAATGTCCAGGCTCATGTCCAATCACTGTTCGTTAAACGCCCACCTCTTCCGTATTACGCTCGCCGACAGCAACCTATGTACCTGTGGAAACGGTTATCACGACATCGAGCATGTTGTTTGGTCCTGCTCCTTGCATTATGAGGCGAGATCCGTTCTGTGTGATTCCCTTAGGGTCCGAGGAAAACAACCCTTTAAGCCAATTAGAGACATCTTGGCTTGCCGTGATATCGACATTATGAAGCTTCTTTACGACTTTCTTAAAGCTGTTGATGTATGTGTTTAGTGTTTTGTGTTTTAGTCATCCTTTACGTTTAAGTCTTAAATTAGTTCAAAATGCTTTCCCTTGTCCTCCCTCCAAATGATCAATAAATGTAATCCCTAATCTCGAGTAAACCGCGAGTAATCGGCCCCCGTTCTACTAACATTAGTTGTAAGAAAATGATATTCACACACAATAATGTAAAAAATATTCGGCTCCGCAAAGCTAACGCATTTGAGCCTTAGCGTTTTTCCGTAAGATTCTATACATTATCCTGTAACTTGTTCTAACCCTTAAAATGCTTCAAAGTCTCAGAACCTTGACTATTATAACTCCACGACCCATAAGTATGATATATATAGTTTTTTCAAATCTGTTATCTTGCAAATTGTTTTTCAAAATCTTACATTTGAATATTTTTTTTATCCAAATCTTGCATCACGAAAATTGTTATTTTTCGCACAAATAGCCTCCGAAAATTTTAATGAAGTAATGAAATTGGATTGTTAGCGGAATGCTTAAATAAAACAGCAAAAAAGGTTATCTTTCATTTAATTCCACTTATATAATTTTGGTATCGATGACAGATGCGTATTTCGACTACAATGTGCAGTCTTCACCAGTGTCATTCCCACTTAAGAACTTATCAAAATCTAGCCCCTTGAGTGCTCATCCCCTAGGGAGTTAGATTTTGATAAATTCTTAAGTGGGAATGACAATGATTAAGACTGCACATTGTAGTCGAAATACGTATCTGTCATGGATACCAAAATTAATTAAGTGGAATTAAATGGAAGATAACCTTTTTTGCTGTTTAATCCGAAAATGTACAGTTGGCCGCGTCTTTAAAAATGTGTACTGTTTCATTTTTTGTTGAATATTAACAACCGGCAAATTTTCAAGATTTGAACCGGGAAAACCGGGAAAAACCGGAAATTTCAAAATAAAAATTCACTGGCCACCCTGTATTAATGATTACTTGCATTTGTCATTAAACAGTATTTTCAACTTCTTTATAACTAGCTGTCTTGCTTGGGACACCAAGATATTTAAACTCACGAACGCGCTCAATAGTCTTATCATCAATGACAAAAGAGACGTTCTCATTTAATCGATTCCGTGAAATTGCCATGATTTAAGTTTTACTTGTAATCAATTTCAACTGCTTTCACTTCAATCATCTACTTAGAGAACGCAAAAAATCATTCAGGAGTGAGACTTCTGAATTTCTGCAAACAGATTAATGTCGCAAAATCGTAAAACATGTCGCAAGTAATTAATATACATAATAAATAAAAGGTGCTCTAATACACTTCCCTGGGGCTTTCTTTGGTTATTCACACGGGACTAGAAACAAAATGATTGTACTTGACAATAAGGGCATATAAATTGTTTCAAAAGCGCTTTTGAAAAAATGTTAACGTTAACCAATTCTAACCTCTATCGGGCCTGAAAGTTAACGAACAGATTTTCGGTGAACTTATTTGGCACAAATATGTATCCATCAAAATGTTTTATTTACCCACTTTATGCCTCGTACGGAACTCTTAAATAGGGGAAATGGCTCTAATGTTGGCCTATGGATCGCTAAAAATCTGCTATTTATCAATTTTATATGGATAAACGCGTCATTGGGACGATACTAATGGATATTTTTGGTTGGTATTGAAAATTTAGTCGATTGCTGAATTTATGTATGGGCCCAAATTAGGGGCATCTAGGCCGACATTACATCCATTTCCCCTACCAGTAAAATCAATGTTGCGGAATATTCTTAAACGTAGGTAGGTGCTGAACAGCAAAAAAATAATTTTGATATCACGTCAAAGTGGATGCACTACAATCAAGTCGAAAATATGGTGTAATATTACTTGCTAAAAAGGACAAAATTATCATTAATACAATGCATGAACTGACATTACGCTGCTTTTACTGCATTTGTTTATTTATGTGGTCATAAAAATTACATGAAATTTTCGACATGACTGTAGTGCATCCACTTTGATGTGATATCAAAATTATTTTTTTGCTGTGTGGGTTGCTTCTACTCACTTCGCTTCGGTAGTCTCACGTACTTGGAGTATCTTCCAGATCGGGTGATGACGCGAATTAGACCATTTTCAGTGGCGGGTCCAATTTGTATGCCCACATTAGAGCAATTTTCCCCTAGATTGTTGATTTTTCTTAAAACTCACTGAATTTGCATTATGTGTAAGACTTTTAAACAGAGATGTATGCTGGCAAAATATTCTTAAATTGCAAAACTTTTCTTCCAATCCCATCAAAAATAACAGTTATTCGTGATCCATCAAACTGAATACTTTTTGATGTTTGTTCTTTTTAAAACCCCCACACGCATCGATTTCAAAGTTCCAGCACAGTCAAAGGCGCTTTGCCGCTGATCACGGAGGAGGCATCAGCAAAAGACAATATTTATTCCGAGGAACAAAAAGGTAAATAAGCAATCCAAACGACGACAGTTGTTTGCTCGGTTTCACTGCCTTGCCTGTTCGACATGGAGCTTTTTCGTAAGAAAACTTGCTTCTTCCTTCGTGTTGCTCCTTGATGCTTTGTCGCTTGTTGTGTTGGCGTTATTTGCGGCGGATCTAATGATGGAACGATGGTGAGGAAGGAGGAGGGGAGGGGGTGTTAGTGGTGATGGTGTAGGAAGTAACAATAACAATCAGCGTCGTGACGAGCGGACGAGTGGGATGGGGTGGAAAATACCTACCTAGATTGATGGAACTTCGCCGGAGGCCGGAGGGAAGTAATTCCCATGATGGGAAATTAGGTTGATATCGTGTTTCTGAGATTTGATAACATTTGCAATTAATTAAAGGCACTGTTTGTAAAAAGATGTAGCCATTTGCGTTTTAGTTATGTGTAATTGGGTAATTCATGTGGTACATGATACGATTAGCAGTCTACCAATCACAAATCATACATTACTTGTTTTTAAACACATTCGAAGGTATGTTTTGTAATCCAAAAGGGCGAAAATCTTTTACATGTTTGTTTTGTTTAGTTTCCCTAATAAAATTTAAATGGTTATTTTGCTCAATGACATGCTCAGGGTATCATCCAATCCATTTGTAATTATTTTTTTGTTCGGTTAAGCCTTTTTTATTAGGGTTACTTTAATAAATTCATCTTATGTGTTCAAAACAAATTTCAACAAAATAAAATTTCTAAATTCAAACTATCTTACTATGATGCCGTCGTTCTCTGCTTCATATTCACTTATAATATAGGTATAGGCCAATCAACGGGCATCCATTCATAATGTCATGCGAGCAAAGAAGTTGATATAAAATAGTTAGCTGATGCCATCATTTCTGTAACGGATATTTCATCTTCTGTGATGATTCAGACATATTCAGTAACGTAATTAACGAATGACCTATTTTCAATTCATGTAAACTAAGCTCATTTGGAAAAATCATTCTGCAATCAGCAATAAAATCACAACTGGTAACGATGTATAACGTACCTTTTTCATGCTATCAAATTGCCATTCGTTTCCGGTTCGTTAATTTCGCCGGCAGTGGCATAATCTCGGATGGAACTCGATGAGCCATTCCCCGATGATATCTGTTGCTTCGGTCCGATCTCGCTCTCATTACTCCTCCTACGCCGCATTTCGCCTGTCGCTGTCATGGGATTTCCATGGACGTCCCCCTCCCGATATAGTTCGTGGGACGTGTCGTTCAGTAAATATTGATCACTTTTATTGTTACCATTGTCATCCTCATTTTCATCGCCATCACGCTCGACGTTTGTTCCCTCGAGATGTAGCTGCTGATTGGTGTTGCCGCCTTTTGGGTTGTTTTTGTCGTTGGGGGTGGCACTGTAGCTGGATGAGTCGTTACTGGCATGGGGATTTTCAGTGGCGCCAAAGTCTTGTTCGTCATGGCGACAGTCGTCAGTCAGATCGTCCCGCTGGCTGTGGCTGCTGGTGCCAGAGCAGAAATACGATTGATTTACGATGAAATTTTCCTCCGTATCGTATGACTTATCCGAATATTCCGAGTACGTGTCGAAGTCATCACAGTCGAAGTATTGGCTCTGGGAAATAAAATGTAAGCACAAAGAACATCATTAGCTAAACATCCAGACGTTTGAAATCTGTGTAGTTCGATTCTAATGACAAAGTCATGATCAATTTTCCTCCGAAACGAATGCCTGAAATATTAAACGAACCTTCTCTGAAACTTTTTCTACTGAACAATCCAAGCGAGAAATTTCTCGAAAATCCCAAAAGGCCCAACTTCTATTTAAATGGTAATAACTTCGTAATTAATGGGTGGTAAATATTATTCATGTACTGTGTTGTGCACGAGTGACGTGATGCTTCTTGGCACATCAGACTGGTTGCTTCAAATGAACTGCCAACTGTCGGAATGAGTGACTAACTTCAGTCTCTGTTTGGAATTCTGCTATCCTTCCATCACCATCAGAATCAGGCAGCGACCAGCATGATAGAACTCATTGAATATTCAGCTTTTTCCCCTTATCGCATTGTTCGGTTTTCATCCGTGCGAATTGAGCAATGGTTAGGATGAAATAATGAATTTTGAACATGACGTGAATATTCAATAGGTAAGCTTAATGCATCCCCAATTCAACGGTAATTCTAGTCACCGCATATAGAGAAAAAGCAATAATATTGGCCTATGGATCTAATGATAAAGGCTGTCGATGAAATCCTAAATTTTCCATTTTGTTTTAAATTACTGTTGTAGCTGCTCAGATTTACTTTACTGCCCTTGTTTTGACGTAGGACTACGTCTGTGATTTCTATATGGAGGTACACTTTGTGACAACCGAAAATGAAATATGCAACAAAATTTTGAAAGATTTTGAACGCTAATAACTCAGCTGCCCCTGAACCAATTTCAATAATTTTATCACCAATGGATCAAATATATTTATACGCATCTATTAAATTTAAGACTTTATCATTTTTCAAAATGTCACTATTGAAAGTTGTACGAATGTGCAACTGTTGCTTTGATAATTAAATTATCACCGATTGCCTGTGAAAAGCGATTTCCCTAACACAGATTCCAAAGTTGAATTCCACCTGGTATCACCAAACGTTGTTAATTCAATCACCGCGTAGTGAGTGGTGGTGTTCTCCAGTGCACAACGAAAGGTTGTCTGGAAGCAGCGAGCTGCAGCCCGCATGAACAGCGTTGCCAGGTCATTTTCAGAAAAATCTGGACCAGTTAAAATATTAAATCTGGAAAAATCTGGAATGCTCCAAAAAATCCTGGTTTTAACATAATGCTATTGAAATCAAAGTAATGTGCCAATCTTCCGTAAAAATCGGTCAGTATGATCAGCTGGAATTTATTAGTACTTTAAATAAATTGGTTATGAATTACATGTTTAAATAAATTATTAAAAGCAAATAACTTGTTAGCATTGTTAAATCATCCAAAAGTTGAAAAGTATTGACACAGTGTGCCTAAAAAGATTAAATATCCATTTCGCAGCAGTTCAAAAATTGAATTAAATGTGGGTAAAATACTGCAGAAAATATTTTTCGAATTGTTTTTTAAACTGTAACTAATTTAAAAAGAATGAGAAGCAAAGAATTAACCAAATTTGATGGGATGGATTTTTTAAAACTAATATTCGATGTAATCCTTACTTTTTGATGCAGTACCAGAATATAAAGATTTTATTATTTGTAAATAATTCTAATATTACCCTGAGATTGATCACACAACCAATTTAATTCTTGACATCATACAACACACAACACCCAATAGACAAGTAGGTAATTTTATTTTGAAGCAAAATTCACCTGGCTGAAGTGGGAATGTGGGGCCTCGTAGCCTAGTCAGGAAAGGAACGGTATTAACTACCAAGCCGGAGACGGCGGGTTTCTATTCCCGGTTCGGTCTAGGGAATCTTTCGGGTTGGAAATTTTCTCGACTCCCCTGGACATTGTATCATTGTACTTGCCAATATGCAAACTCATGCATTGGTATTGGCATCAAAAGTTCTCAATTAATAACTGAAGAAGTGTATTTAGAACACTAAGTTGAGAGCACGCAATAAGCTTGAAATGCGAATAAGAAGAAGAAGTGAAGTAGGAATCAAAGCCTAACATCGTGGTACTCACACAAAGTTTACCTAAACTACGGGTAACTCCACTATTCGCATGACCGTTACGAATAATTTTACGCTAAAGAATCATTTTATTATATTACTAAAATGAAAGTCTGATAGCGTCATTTTTGAAGTCTCAGTATTTTTAAATGATTATAAATTCCGGAATTACTATTTTTTCTGGGTCCCAGATCATGAAATTTTTGATTAGTCTGAATATACTTGGAATTCTTTACAGGATATCTTCGCCCTTTTTTTAAGTTCCATTTGAATGATCCTAGAATTTCATCATGCTTATTTTCGGGATTCCCTTGAAAAATCTTGATAATATCCAAACTTTTACCAGTAACATTCTAAGAGTTCATAGGTAATCTCTTATAAATTACTTTCCAATTCCACAATGCCCACAAACTGGTAAGAGTTGGCATAATTTTTTGCCCATTTTTCCCTATGAAATTCTTAAAATATTCTTAATAATTTCCTCGGTGCACTCTTCAGAATGACCGTCACACTCTTCTCAGACTTATCCGATAATTCTCTTTGAACTGCTTTGTAGGTATTGTCAGAATTGTTTTGAAATCCTCTTCAGTATTTCGTAAGTACTCATGTACTTTGCGAAAATGGATTTGAAAGACTCCCAGAAATTGCGCATAATTCCGTTAAAAAGTCTTAACATTTTATTAAAATGAATCTCTATAGAAAAATTGGACAGAATTCAATTGAAATTATTTTCACGATTCGTATAAGCATACTCCTTATGTTTCATCATAACAATTTTCTATGATTTCTCTTCCGGATTGTATTTCCTACACACAACGAAAATGTCATGTAAATTTAGGTTCCCTGAGACCGACACATGTAAGCGGCCTTTTTGACATAAGAATCAGTTGAAAAAAAACAAGAAGATCAATTCAATGAAACGTTCTCTTCGTCGATTTGCATATGTTTCGGTTTGAAAACACTTAATTTTACATGAAATGTTATTTTACGTTCCATGATTTACGTCCAATATGGATTACGTCTTGTGTAAAATTAGTTATTTCTAAGTGTGTATATTCACGAAATCTCCACGCAATTGTCATCAAAGTTGACAGTTGACACCGTCTTCAACCAGAGGTTGCACAGACTGAATATTTAACACAAGACAACGGAAAACACACCACACCCAGTAGATCAGTAGGAAAATTTTATGCTTGCCAAAATTTGCACGGGCTGGAGCAGGCATCAAATCCTCACTTTGTGGCACTCACAATTCGCCTGACGAAACCCACAAAGATGGATGGAACGCTACTCAGAATTAGCGTGCAGTTCTCCTTTTGATTTCACAAGGAATTCGCCTCACACTTCTCTGTGAACTATTTTCAGAATTACCTTAAAATTCCAATAATGTCCAACGTTGATGGCCTTTGATAACAAAAGTAGCAAGTTTGGATCTCGGGGGCTTCCCTTAGCTTGGTCGGTAAAGGCGCAGCTACGAAGCAAGACCATGCTGGAGATGGCTGGGTTCAATTCCCGGTCCATTCTAGGAATTTTTTGGGCTGGAAAATTTCTCGACTTCCCTAGGCATAGAAGTATGATTGGACTTGCCACACAATTATACAAATGCAAAAATGGTACAGGCATCGAAAGCTCTCAATTAATAATAACTGTGGAAGTGTATCTAGAACACTAAGTTGAGAGCACGCAATAAGCTAATATGCGATATGCAATAAGCTTGAAATGCGAAGAAGAAAAAGAAGAAGTTTAGATTTTTATGTTTTTATTAGAGGGCAAATCAATTGCAGTGTCATTTTTAAAGCAACATGTTTAAAAAAACCTGGGAAAATCTGGAACATATTTACAAAATATGAAAATATACTTGGTTTGCCTGTGTATCTGGCAAGACGACTAAAAATCTGGACTACTGGCAACACTGCACATGAGCATCCATAGAAGGAGGAAGAAGCTGCACCGCTATTGATCGGAATCAGTAGCTCTTCGTGATTTTCTGTGGGCCATCTATGTCAAGCGCGTCATACTAAAGAGTATAAACAGAGAGAACCCCGCTCAAATTCCTATTCCTACACAAAACACAAGCTCCTGCTGCAGTTAACAAATAAAATTTATTATATAAGTGACCATTGCGTACAACCCCATAGGGCTGCCCTTTGTAGTTTTTCTTTCGGAATGACGGGCAAGTGAATCAGCTTCCTTTACATTAAGCTATTAAATGAGAGAATAAAAAAAAGGTTTAAATTTAGTATTTGATAGAAGCTTCTAAAAGACATTTGAGCCCACAAATAAACTTATTGAAAAAAGAAGATTCTAAAAGTTGCTTCTGAAATATACTTCTAAGAAGCATGTAAAGGATGCTTTTAATAGAAGCTTCAAAAATAAGCTTTTAGAAGAACTTTTAATTAAAACTACTAAATTTTCTAAAGCTTTTAAAGAAGCTTTTAAAACAAACTTCTAAGAGAAATTATTTTTCAAGAAGCTTTTAAAAGACGCCTCCTTTTAAATGGAACTTGGAAAGAAGCTTTATAAACGAAGTTTCTACTATATGCTTTTAAATGAAGCTTCTTAAATTAGCCTTCAAAAGATATTTCTGAAAGAAGTTGTAAAAGAAGCTTTTAAACACAGCTTTGAGAGTAAGCATTTAAAAGAAACTTTATAAAAAAGACTTTATAAAAGCATTCAAAATATGTTTTTAAAATAAGCTTTTAAAAGATGCTTTTAAAAGTAGCTTTTAAAAGAAACTGTTAAAAAGCCTTTAAAAGAAGCTTTTAAGGGAAAAATTTTAAAAAAGGTTTTTAAATATGCTTTTAATCAGAACTGGTAAATATCACGGCCGTCATGTGACAATGAGAAAGTAGGGCCTCTCACTTTTACGGGACGAAACTACCTATCTTGAGCTTTCTTGTCATTTTCCAATGATCAAGCACTCACGAGAATAATTCTTATGCGGTTTTGACATCAACATTTCTAACTGATTTAGATGAATTTATGCAAGTAACCGTGTGTAATCGGTAGAGTCTATATATTTTAAAGATTTCCTCGATACAAGAAACTTCAATAGCAATACATGAGCTACTATTCACGCTTTTAAAAGAAACACTTAGAAGCACTTTCTAACAATAGCTTTGTAAAAACTTTTAATAGAAACCTCTGATGAAGCTTTTAAATTATGCTTTTAAAAGAAGTTTCTAGAAGAAGCATTTTAAAGATGGTTCTAAAAGAAGTTTTAAAAGAAGCTTCAAATAAAAGCCTCTAATCTAAACTTTTTGATGAAGGTTCTAAACTAATCTTTTACTAGAAGTGTTTAATAGAATAAATGGTTTAAAATAGCGTTTAAAAGGAGCTTCTAATAGTAACTTTTTATGAAGATTGTGATGAAAATAGACGTTTATGCCGAAGTAAATCTCTACCCTGAGCATGCATTGGTGAACGCGAAATCCCTGGGACGATACTGATGGATATTTTTGGTCCCTTTTGAAAATTTAGTTGATTTTTGAATTTATGTATGGGCCCAAATTAGGGGCAATTAGGCCGACATTTCCACTATTTGTTTACAAAAATGGGTAGGTTTATTTCAATTGATATTGATATTATTAATTGCATGATATGAATTTATTCAAATTATGAACATTATCTGTAATGTTAATCGATAGCAATTTATGTACATCATATTGAACAGGAATTTGATCTACTTTCAGTTAAAGTTTTTAACGAAATGTATATGCTGAGGTCGGCTGGCGCAAAGTTCTAGTTGAGCAGAATTAATTCAAGAATTTCTCGTTTGACCCGATAGTACAACAAATATAATGAGGCCAGTTGGACATGTAGTGCCTCCTCTAAGATGGATGCTAGTGACGGTTATTGATTGATAATTTAACCACCCTATTCATTGGAATTACCTTACACAACCCAACGATCCGACAGAATAAAGAAACCCACCTGGCAATCAATGCAACGACAGCTGTCACTGAGAGTGCACTTGATTCCGAGAAGCTGGGCCGCCTCGTTGTACAGGTCCTTAGCGGTTTTCTCCTCGCTCTGGACTGGGCTGGATTTTCTCCTGCTGTTTGAATAAAAATTTAACATGGATTAAATCCTGAAATCAGGGCTACTATGTAGTGTCCAACGTACCTTTGACATCGACTGAAGATGTCACTCCCACTAATTCCACTACTACTACTACTGCTGTTGTTGTTGTTGTTGTTGTTATTGTTGTTGTTGTTGTTGTTACTGTTGAGGCTGGTGCTATTGGTGCCTTTACGTATTCGGTCCTCGTCGAAGAGCTTCCATATTTTGGCAATCTTCGAGTTTGTTCGACCGTTGTTGTTGCTGTAGTTTGTCGTTTGATGGTGGTGCTGGTGCAACTGGGGATGGTTGGATCTGTACCTTATTAGATCGCTAGTTTCGACAAAGTTGTTGCTGGCAGTTGAATGGCTCGTATGGTGGTTGAGGCTAGTGCCAATAGTGCTACAGGTTCCGCTGAAGCCGCAGTTCTGCAGCGGATGGTACAGAGGCTGTTGGCTGAGGGGATGATTTTGAGGGTTGGTGGCACCGTTGCTGATGCCGCTGGCAATGTTGGAACTACTGTTGGTGCTGTTGTTCGATTTGCTACATGGCTGCATTTCGGCAGCTGTTCTATTATTCACTGTTAATGCTCTTCCAGCCGGTGAACCGAATAATTCTATCATGTCGAAATCCTGCAAAAGGGAACGGTTGGAATTTTTCTCTGTTATTTTACGTGATGCAGTGGTATAAATTTCAATCGTGTGAGTTGATAGGGATGATTCCAGGGCTTGGAGGGTTTTATGAACTGTTTTATGCATGCTATTGGTGGGACGAGACCTAGGATAGGTTGTAAGAGAGATGTAATCAAGGCTATAATATTTGAATTTACAGCTATGGGAAATTGGTCATGGGTAATTTACTGGATTTGGTTTGAAATTTGTGATTTAACATCATTGTTATACAGCTATTCCATAGCAAAACAATAAAGTGGTTCTCAGAATTTGGAAAAAAAAATCTAGTTTTGTTCCTTATCACAAAATATAAGACCTATACTTTTTTATTTTGTCATTGGGGTGACCATTTTTATGTTAGAGTGGTTAAAAAAATCGATTGTTTTCGATAATTTTTTTTTCAAAAATGTCTTTTTTCAAAAAATCAAAAATCAAAAGATACGATACCGCTTGGCCGTTTTCCAAGATCAAAATATCAAATGAAAGGTAATTAAAGATACTTTTATGAAACATACAATGATATTCTAAATTGGGATTTTGTATTGAAAACTAGTGATTGTATTTGGTTTTTATGGTTTTCATGGTTTCTAGACAGAGGGTGCAATATAGTATATTGTTATATTTTTCCTTGAAAATTTAGGCTTTTTCTGACAACATTTAAAAAATCAGCGATGTATTTTTTTCATTTTTGAGTTCTATATTTTTGAAGTTATCAAGTTTTGGGTTTCATGGTTATGGTAGTCTAGGATCAGAAATTGAAATAAGTGTAGATAATGTAACCATGTTACAGTCACTATAAATCAATGGAGACGCATGGTAGTCAAGTCGCATAGGAGTATTCGAGAAAAACCTCTGTCTACAAACCACGAAAACCATAAAAAAAAACAAATACAATCAATGTTTAGCAATACAACGTTTTAATTTTTGATATCATTGTACTTTTTCTTAAATTTATTTTTAATTACCTTTCATTCGATATTTTGATCTTTGAAATCGGCTCAGTGGTTCAAAAGTAATGAATTTTTGAAGAAATTGGAAACATGGAAATGGTCACCCTAATGATAAAATAAAAAATACGGGTGCAGTAAAGCCGTTGGTCCCGGCCCATGTGTGTTGAATGGGTGCGATATCCTACGCAGGTGTGGAAGCTGCCTCTCTTGCACATTCGATTGCCGTCAATGGATGGCAATCGATGTCCGTCGGTGATTGGTACTAGATTGCGGAACAGAGACCGACGTTAAATATAGAAAAGAAGAAAGAAGATTTGTGCGTTTCACAAAAAAATAGAAATTAGTTGGCCCAATTTTGTGAAATTGCTGGTAGAAAGTCACACCAAAACTGCTTGACAAGTGGTCAATTGAGGCATTTTTCCATAAAAATTGTACGCTCAGTCATTCAAAACAGGGATTGGGTACCATCACGGAAGAATAAACATGCTGACTGAGCTACTGACTGAGTGCTCGGTTTCACTGACTCCAAACAAACTTTTATAGAACATTATAATACTATCATTAGTAAAGCAGCATTCTGTTTGCTTCATTAAAAGGTTCAGTCATAATTTCGAAGACCCATACACTATTAAGCTATTATATACCACATATGTAAGGCCAATTATGGAATACTGCAACCTAGTATGGAATCCATACATTTCCATACACGAAGAACGCATAGAATCTGTCCAAAAACAGTTCCTTTTAAATGCTTTACGTAAATTGAATTGGACTGCATTTCCATTACCATCTTATGATGCGCGCTGCATGCTCATCAATATACAAACACTTAAGGAGCGCCGCCAATTTGCAATGCTTTTCTTCATCAACGACATTATTTCAATGCGCATAGATTCGCCAGAAATTCTCGCACAATTAAACTTTTACACACCTTGTCGATATCTTAGAACACGGAATTTATTTTCTGAAAAATCGTACAGAACAAACTATGCAAAAAATAGCCCAATAAATGGAATGATGCGCCTGTATAATTTGCATTGCGGTACTATTGACATCACTATGTCCAAGCAGCAAATAAAAACTAAGCTAAAACATAATAGAATTAATGCATAGTATGTAAGTAAACATTGTAATAATCATTGTATGTAGTCTAGACTGTTTTTATATAGTATATAGTTTTTATATAGTATGTGTAACATATTTTACAAACATATTAAAACAACAATTTTCGTGATTTTTTTCCTGTTTAAAAAAATATTCAAACCATCAGGTATGAAATGTATTTCCAATTTAGCCATAACATATCCAATGTTGTATTCTTATTGCTTATGATGTTTTCTGATTATATATTCATTCAAAGTTTAATATTTAAAGAACATAATTGTTTGAGTTTCTTCCATTTTTTTTCTACATTCATCGAGCATTATCAAAGTAACCCCAAATCAAAGAACTGAGGTTCGGTCACAAAACTAAAAAAATAGTGTAAATGCTTAAATTTCCGTTAGTCATATTACTAACAAATTAACTCTTGGATCGGACTCTTGGATCCGACTTAAAATAAATTTTTGGCGAGCACTTTTGTCTGGTGCATTTTTTTTTCGAGTACAGGCCTCACTAAGTATAAGAAAAGTCCGTTATGTAGGAGTGGATAGTATTAAAAAGCAATCTGTTGAATTAAGTAAAATATTAATGTGCCCTATGAATTCTTTCAATTACTGAGCATTACACGTTAATTATATGTTGATAACGATAAATGATATGCTTGTATTACTCTAATTCATATTTGAATGTACACGCACTGTAGCTATATATCTTTTTTTATGTATTTGAAGATGATGTTTTCCGATATACGTAGAACCTGTCACAACTTGGACCTGTAAGAGGTAAAATATCAACGTGTTGTTAAAAATAATCACTTATTCACCTTCATGTAAATCCGAACCGAATAATTCATTCCTGTGTGCTAGATCGAGAAAGTGCGAACAAATGTCCAAAAACTTTTTGTTTGGCCCTGTTAATTTTTCGTTTCTAATAGAGTGTAAGTGGTCACGGTAGTCGACACATTTTCTGTGATAATCGACTGCCTTTGCCTACGACACTTAAAAAACAAGCTAGTACAGTACCAAACTAAAAGGTCATATGACAGGCTCTGTCATACGACACTGTCGCCGAAAACCGTCGCGAATGTATGTATTTTGGTTTTTCTTATAATAAGAGCTGCTGATGTTGTGCTTGTGTGAATTCTGAACATACCAAGGAATGATGTCCTAGTAAACACATTTCTGATCAGATATGGTTTAATTAACACAAAATTGAGGAATTATGAGCGAGTGTAGTAAAAAACGTCAACTGTTTCAAACCCTGGTCTGTATTACCATAAAGGTAACTCTAAGACCAGAAGGTCCGAAGAAACGAGCTCAACTTTTTGGCTCAACTCTGGTTCTATCTTCGGTTCCAAGCTAATCGATGCACCCCTCGAAACATAGGAAAATCGACGAACCCCTCATTTTATCTGCACGCAATGAATGTTAGTTCCGTTTCCTATCATCCTCTGTTCATGAACATCGCAGCGAATGTTAGAAGTTGACCTTACAGGCGATGTAATGGTTTTTTGTCTTTTTTATTTTGTGATCTATCTACGCTTTCGACTATACCAGTAAGCTTGTAGAACGACGCACATTGTAGAACAGAAAAAGCATACGAAGCCGACAGTTAGCCCATGCATTATCTGTCAAAAAACCCGAAAACGTGTCTATTGTGCGCCAGCCTTTAGCTTCGGCGATCCGCTTGGTTTCGATCGCAAACTCCTTCTCCTGGATCTCCTCTTCGAGGTCCGTTCGAGGTCTTTCAGCTCTTTCTCGGCAGCCAACTCTTCGTCATGTTCATCGGGATTGGTACAATAAGCGGATGCACATATGATATAATAATTGGAACAGAAACTAGTTGGTCTGATAGTATTAATAGCGAAGAAGTAAATTTTGCGTTATTCGATGTGACCGCGATTTATCATTATCAGGTAAAAAATCAGGTGGTGGTGTACTTATTGCTGTGAACGCTACATTTCAAGCTTAACAAATTGCTAGCGAAAGCCAAAAAGAAATTGAAGATGTGTGGGTTAAAATTTTAATAAACGGCGAAGAACATCTTTTCGCTTCTGTCTACTTTCCTCCACACTTTTCCAAAAAACCAGCTTACGAAAAGTTTTTCACTGCTGCAGAACTGAAAATTCAAAGAGAAGATCCAAGAACCAAAATTCATATTTTTGGAGGTTTTAACCAGAATACGAGATATAGCATATGCGAGAAGTGTACATATATACTAACGCCACGTGGTGAGAAAATTATTAACTACTGTTTACCAGCCAAAAAGTCTTGATCCCCTAAACAACTTTGGCGAAGACAGCAACTTTCTAGCTGATCAAGATCTCGAGCTATTGAATATGGGAGGAAGGCACGTATATTTTTTTTTCCTCTGTTCGGGACCTAACACTCCTGCGACCAGTAAATTTATCTATTGTAGTATATCCCGTGTCCTTAGTTTAGTGCATGTCGTATTACTCCATCACTATTGAGAAATGATGAAGTATTCGATTTTTTTTACAGTTGCCACTCTTGCATTTATCGCAAGGATCTGACTCTAATTGAAAGGTCCCGCTATTTATACCCTTCGGAGTGTTGAAACACCCTCCAAAGGCGCACCCCTTTAACAGTCAAAATTGGATTCCTTAGCAACAAAATTAAGGTATGACACCGATATCATGCATCAGAACCCTTGTCTTAACCACTTCAAACTAGGGAACAACGAATAGAAGATTAGGAATCACATAGATGAAGACAACTAACTCATTTTTTTCCTTGTTTCAAGATCATCCTCGGTAGGGAATAATCACTGTGGTTATTTATAATCCAGTAGTTTAAGCTAGTGTACAATGTCACTCAAAAATAATCACAGTGAATATCGACTTCTGCTTAAAGATACGCTATCCGCTTCAACTTCCGATGTGGAAATTAT